TCCGCACCAGAGGCTTCCATTATCCCCGATCTGGTAATGATGAAGGCGATCACCTGTAGCAGTCTGTACAGACACTGCATGTGATGCCTGGTACTTTGGCGTCCTAGGCTTCTTTACCTGTTTCGCCCACGCGCTGCGGCGTATGGCTTTGTAGCGTGTCGGCGACGTCGCTTCAGGTCTCCCATATTGGGGTCGGAGTAGATGGTATCGATGGATCGCGCCGCATCACCCGATGCGGCTCGATGTGGAGACCGATTTTCTCCACGCCGACTTTGCCGATGCATCGCCGATACATCGCCGGTACAGCAGCGATTCGGTGCTATCCTCCGACATCATCCACACGGACCTCATCCAGATGGCGGGCCGATGTCCCTGCCCAGTCAGCCCGCCAGCCTCTCCGTCCCCCCCCTCAGGCTCCGGTGTGGCGGTGGAGGTGCCGGTGGCCACGGCAGGCCACGTCGTGGGCGAGAAGAAGCACGGCTGGACGTGCTTGCGTGAGGAATACGTCAAGGAGTTCAGCTGCACAGGGTATCTGCTGGAGCACGACCGCACGGGCGCACAGTTGATGTCCATGGTGCGCAGAGAGTCGTGGGAGAAACAATTGCGTACACATGAGCTTTCGATGGACGAGTCGGTGCTCAGAGAGTTGGTGTATACGCTCGCCTCGCCGAGGCCCAGGATGACCCTGGCCCAGTCGGCACAGGCATGGTGTTGATGCGTAGGTGCCTCCTGCGGAAACGAAGGAAAGGAGTCAGCATCAGTGTTCTCTTCTGGAAAAGAAGAAATGGCATACAGTGGACGCCCATGCCAAGAAACACCCTGCTTGCCTCCAGGGTGCCCTGGGTTTCGACGGTTTTGCTGCGGAGAGCGCGCGACAATCCCGCACTAAGAATCAGTGGACGTCCTGGGGTATCAGGGTCGGGTTTCTTGTGGAAGGTTTCTTGTAGTCGGGCCCCTACTGCAGGCAGAAACTTTTGACAGCCCGCGCGGAGTTCATGGATCTCACCACCCACCAAACCACCCCAACCCAACCCGAATGCCCCAATTTACCCTCCATTTCCAGCGGGGGGGGGTCGGGGAACATGGAGAAAACGCATGCAACCCGTACCCCCCCCCCCCCCCAACCCGAAATTAGGGTTTTCGGGTCGGGTTGGGGTGGTCAGGTAGGTAGTCAGGATCTGCGCCAGACCCCCTTCGCCCCAGCGCGCCAGGAGCGCCGCCGGAGGCCGCCTCGGAGGACCCCAGCGCCGATCCAGGGAACCCGCGCGGACCGTCAAAAGATTATGTGTATACGGTTGTTGTAAGTCGGGCATGGTCTTCTACAGGAGGAATACTCAAACAGGTTTTTGGTTTTTAAAGTCAGGGGACGATGTTTTGAATTATGTTTGGCTAGTGTTGAGTTGTTGTTTGACAGTTTTTTGTTTTTCGTCCACAAGCCCCCTGTAGGATGCGTGCCCGACCTAACCCCAGCGCCGGTCCGAGAAACCCCCGCGGACCGTCAAAAGTTGCTGTTTCTAAATTTGCTTCGTTTTTCCAAAAGGGGTGTGACCGATAGGTGGGGTGAAGAAAACGGCCCGAAAGGGGATCTTTGGGGTGCCTTTTGGCCAGCCAGCAGGGGCCCCAGAGGGGCCCTGGAGGGCCCCCTTTGGGGCTCTTTTCTTCAACCCCGGTTCGGGTCCCCCCCCAATATCACCCGCCCGAAGAACACCGATGCCGATACCTTTCCTTGGTTTCCGCAGGAGGCACCTATGCATCAATCCCCCTGCCTGGTCCGACTGGGCCAGGGTCGTCCTGGGCCTCGGCGAGAAGGGCGTATGCACCATGCCAGGGCCCAGGGCCCTGGGCCAGGCTTGGTAGAGGGGTAGGTGCCTTCTGCGTATCATGTTCGCCTTCTTGGGCCTCTGGCAGGCCCTCGGTCGTCGCCCCAGCTGGAGTCGCTTTGGGAGCACGGTCAGAACGCACCTTGGAAGAGAGGTTGGGGTGCACCGGTGTCGGTCTTCTGTTGCTCCCCCAGGTGCAGCCTGCAGACGAGAACAAGACCTTTGGGGTCGTCTTCCGCACGCCTCCCGAGAACTCCAACGGCATCGCGCACGTGCTCGAGCACTCGGTGCTGTGCGGGAGCCGGAAGTACCCCGTCAAGGAGCCGTTCGTGGAGCTGATGAAGTCGAGCCTGCAGACGTTCCTGAACGCCATGACCTTTCCAGACCGCACCTGCTACCCGGTCGCAAGCTGCAATCTCCAAGACTTCTACAACCTGGTGGACGTCTACCTCGACGCCGTCCTGCATCCGCGGGCGGTCAGCGATCCTCGTGTCCTGGCCCAGGAGGGCTGGCACTACGAGATCGAGAAGAAGGACGACCCGCTGGTGTACAAGGGCGTGGTCTTCAACGAGATGAAGGGCGTGTACTCCAGCCCAGACAGCACGCACAACTCGCTCGGGATGCGGTCCCTTTTCCCCGACAGCACATATGGAGTGGACTCCGGGGGAGACCCCAAGGTGCTCCTTGCCCCTCATCCTTCCCACCATCCTGCTCCCTGCTCCCCCCCCCACCTTTGCCCCCTTCGTCCCGAGGTTATTCCCAGCCTCGACTTCGACTACTTCAAGAAGTTCCACTCCAAGTACTACCACCCGTCGAACGCAAAGTTCTGGTTCTACGGTGACGACCCGGCCGAGAAGCGGCTCGAGCTCCTGGACAGTTTTCTCTCCGAGTTCGACCGGATCGATGTCGACTCCAGCATCAGCGAGCAGCCCCTGTTCGAGACGCCCAAGAAGGTCACTGGCGAGTTCGCCGCGGGCGAGGACGAGGACATCTCCAAGAAGCACATGGTCAGCATCAATTGGCTGCTTGCCGACCGCAAGCTCGATCTGCAGTCCAGCCTGGCTCTGTCATTCCTCAACTACCTGCTCATGGGAACGCCGGCCGCGCCACTGTACAAGGCCATGGTGGACAGCGGTCTCGGCTCCCGGGTCATCGGCGGTGGGCTCTACGACGGACTGCTTCAGCCGATCTTCGGCGTGGGTCTGAAGGATTTGCAGGCCGAAGACACCTCGAAGGTAGAGGATCGGGCGACAAGAACTATGCATGTGCACCGATCCTGGCAAGGCCCACCCTGCGCCCAGTGTCGGTGTATGCGCCTCCCTGGGCGAGCCAGGAGGGCGTGTGCATCAATCATGGAGTCTGGTTGGGCCCTGTCAGGGCTGATGCGTAAGAACCCGTTCTCTTCTAGAGGAGCTGGTGATCGCGACGCTTCGCGGAATCGTTGAGAACGGTTTCCAGGACGAGGAGGTGCAGGCGGCCATCAACACGATCGAGTTCCGCAACCGCGAGCTGAATACTGGCAGCTTCCCCAAGGGCCTGGCCTTGATGTTCGCCTCGGTGGAGAATTGGAACTACGGCGGGGACCCTTTCGAGCCTTTGCGCTTCGAGGAACCTCTGGCGAACCTCAAGGAACGGCTCGCGAATGGCGAGAAGGTGTTCGAGGATCTGATCCAGGAGAGGTTCCTGAACAACAACCACAGGGTGGTCGTTGAGAGCGTCCCCAGCAAGGAGTTTGGCAAGCGGCAGGACGAGGCAGAGAAAGCCGAGCTTGCTTCGCACAGGGAGACCTTGGACGATGCGGCGATCGATGCTCTCATCGAGGAGACGAAGACACTGAAGAAAATCCAGGAGACGCCCGACTCGCCCGAAGCCATGGAGAAGGTTCCCCGCCTCTCGCTGGAGGACATCCCAAAGGAGAGCCCCAAAATTCCAACTGAGGCCACTGGATCGAAGCCGACCACGCTCGTGCACGAGTTGCCAACAAGCGGTGTGGTGTATGTCGACATCGCGTTCAGTCTGGATGCTGTGCCAGAGGAGCTGTTGCCGCTGCTGCCCCTCTTCGCGGCTGCGCTGCGCCAGCTGGGTACTGCCAAGGGCGACTTCGTCAGCCTCACGCGCCGCGTCGACAGGCTCACTGGTGGCATCTCGGCCTCGACGATCTGCCTCAACAAGCGCGGGGAGCCGAAGCCAGAAATGTACTTGATGCTGCGCGGGAAGTCGATGGAGAGCCAAGTGCCGGACCTCGCGGCCCTGATGGAGGAGATCGCCTTGACGGCGAACTTGGACAACCAGGAGCGCTTCGTGCAGCTCGTGAAGCAGTCCAGGCAGTGCTGGAGCTAAGCAGTGTTTTTTTGACGATGTCGTCAACCGTTTTCGCTGTGCCCCCGTTCTGCAGCCAAGGCGGAACGAAGGCATCACAGGGGGCAACAAGCGTAGAAAGAAAACGGCAAGCACTGTTAAGCTTGAGTCGGGCTTGTCCCTCTTCAGGGGGAACATTCAAACATAGTCCAAATATAGTCTGGGGGCGATCTTGTTTTTAACTACTTTGGGCCGTTTGGGGGTATTTTCTGACATGTCTTATTTCTCGTCTAAAGTCCGCCTGCAGGGACATGCCCGACCTAATGTTAAGCTCGCGCCCGGGGCCCAGGTCCGGAGCGCAGTCCGGCATCGTGTCCAGCGGCCACGTCGTGGCCGGCGCCAGGCTCTCGGCCCAGACGTCCCAGGCCATGCGCAGCGACAGGGGGGGGGCACTCTCCGCGGGGAACGCACCGACCCCGAGTCGCCCTGTGATCGCCTCCTCCTCTCTCTCCTCCTCCTCCTCCTCCTCCTCCTCCTCCTCCTCCTGCTCCTCCTCCTGCTCCTCCTCCTCCTCCTTCTTCTCCTCCTCTCTCTCCTCCTCCTCCTCATCCTCCTCCACCTCCTCCTCCTCCTCCTGCTGCTCCTCCTCCTCCTCCACCACGCCCAGGAACGTGCGCATTCGCCATCGGGGGCCCATCGCCGATCTATCCGCGATGCATCGCCGATCCAGGTCGATGTCTCGCCCTCTGAGCCAGCCTCCCCAATTGCTGCCCGTCACCAGGCCGGCTGGGTCAACGACAAGTGGAGCGGGTTGACGCAGTACCAGTACTTGTCGGGTCTCCTGGCCGAGATCGAGGGCGGCGGTTGGGATGCCGTGTCCGCCCGCCTCAAGCGCCTCCAGGCGTGCGTGTTCAACCGGGGCGCATGCGCCGTGCTGAACCTGACCGCGGACGCTGGCAGCATCCCTGCGGCCCAGGCCACTATCGAGGCGTTCGCCGGAGGACTGCCCGAGACGGCCGATGAGCTCGTCGTGCTGGCGCCGAAGCTGGAGCGCTTCGCGGAGGGCATCATCGTGCCGACGCAGGTGAACTACGTCGGGAAGGGCGGCAACCTCTACGCGGCGGGCTACACACTGCACGGCTCCTCGCTCGTGGTTTCGAAGCTCCTGGGCACGACGTACCTATGGGACCGGGTGCGGGTCAGCGGCGGCGCGTACGGGGGGTTCTGCAGGTTCGACCCGCGAAGTGGCGACTTCAAGTACCTGTCGTACCGCGACCCCAACCTGGAGGGCACGCTTCAGAACTACGACGGCGCACCGCAGTTTCTGAAGGAGCTCAAGCTGGGGGAGGACGAGCTCACAAAGGCTATTATCGGCTGCATGGGCGACGTGGACTCATACATGCTGCCCGACGCCAAGGGGTATCAGGCCATGCTGCGCTTCCTACTCGGAGAGGGAGACGACTACAGGCAGCAGCTCCGCGACGAGATCCTGTCCACGACCACGAAGGACTTCGGGGCGTTCGCCGGCGCTCTTGACAGCGTAAAGGTGGGCGGCATCTCCGTCGTGGGCTCCAAGGATCACCGAGCGCGTTCCACTACTCGCAAAGTGCCTGCTCGTAAACGTCCGAGAAACAAACGCCTGCCTCGATGCAATGGATCGTAAATCCCCCTTGGCGGATCAAGGCCATTTGCGAGCAGTTACTTTGCGAGTAGTGGAACGCGCTTGTCTAAAGGAGGCCATCGAGCGGTCAAAGGGGGAGTACGATCTGAGCACCGTGAGCCCGTTCGCGGCCTGAGCCACCGCTGCAGGGGTGGGCGCCAGAGCGCGGGCGAGCGCGGGTGCCGCGACCACCATCGCGGCACCGACACACACACACACACACCCGCACACACGCACACACACACACACGCACACACACACACACATACACATACGCACATTCACACGCGCACACACACACACGCACATTCACACGCACATTCACACGCGCATATACTTGTACATACACATATATACGTAACTATTTATATATGTACACATACATCCATATACACCGAAACGACCACCCTTCGGGTGATAAGGAGTTGTGGCGGAGGGGAGAGGGGGGAAACCAACATTTGACTCAATCGATCTCACTATCGATCTCACTCAACGGGACACCACGGGACACCGCGGGACACCGCGGGACACTTGTCGATCTCACTATCGATCTCACTCAACGGGACACCATGGGACACCGCTTGACACCTCTCGATCTCACTATCGGTCTCATTATCGGTCTCACTATCAATCTTACACACCCATTAATATGCGCATATATCCATATACATATATGTACACATCGGAGGTTGAGGGGTGAGATCGCAGTGGAACGGAGACCCCCGACCGGGAAATCGTTTCGTTTCGTTCGTGTCCTGCGTGCGGGCGAGGCGAAGCTGCGTGGGCGCGCGAGAGGAATGAACCCGCCTTTGCTAGGGCGAAGTCAAGACTAATGATATTCCCCCTCCCGCCCGCCCGTCCGGCGGTGGCTCGCGGTGTCCCGGGGTGTCCCGTGGTGTCCCGTGGTGTCCCGTTGAGTGAGATCGATATTGAGATCGATACTGAGATCGATATTGGGATCGATAGTTATTGAGATCGATACTGAGATCGATACTGGGATCGATAGTTACTGAGATCGATACTGAGATCGATGTGGTGCCCCGAGGTGTCCCGTGGTGTCCCAAAAAGTGAGATCGATAGTGAGATCGATAGTGAGATTGACAGGTGTCCCGTGGTGTCCCGTTGAGTTAGATCGATACTGAGATCGATACTGAGATCGATGTGGTGCCCCGAGGTATCCCGTGGTGTCCCGTGATGTCCCGTTGAGTGAGATCGATAGGGAGATCGATAGTGAGATCAATGTGGTGTCGCGTGGTGTCCCGTGGTGCCCCGTGGTTTCCCGTTGAGTGAGATCGATAGTGAGATCGATAGTGAGACCGTTAGTGATATCGATGTGGTGTCCCGAGGTGTCCCGTGGTGCCCCGTGGTGTCCCGTGGTGTCCTGTGGTGTCCCGTTGAGTGAGATCGATCGAGAGATCGATAGTGAGACCGATAGTGAGATCGAGAGGTGTCCCGCGATGTCCCGTGGTGTCTCGTGGTGTCCCGTTGAGTGAGATCGATGCTGAGATCGATACTGAGATCGACAAGTGTCCCGTGGAGTCCCGTGGTGTCCCGTGGTGCCCCCTTGAGTGAGATCGATAGTGAGATCGATTGAGTCAGATGTTGGTTCCCCTCCCCCTCTCCCCCCCCACAACCTCCTTATCACCCGAAGGGTGGCCGTATAGGTACATCCATATATGAAAGAGCGTGTTCTACCGCTGCTGGCGGAAAACCGGGGGGGGTCACTACCGGTTCGAACCCCTCCCCCCCCCCCCCCACCGGAAAACCGGGGGGGGTCACTACCGGTTCGAACCCCTCCCCCCCCCCCCCCAGCTCATCATGAAAAGGGGGGGGGGTCACTACCGGTTCGACCCCCCCCCCCCCCTCGAAAACCGAGTGGGGGTGCGGACAGTGGTGGGGACGGTGTTGGTGGGGACAGTGGTGAGGGGACAGCGGGACAGTGGTGGGGACAGTGGGGGGACAGTGGGACAGTGGTGGGGACGGTAGTGGTGGGGACAGTGGTGGGGACAATGGTGGGAACAGGGGGGACAGTGGACAGTGGTGGGAACGGTGGTGGTGGGGACAGTGGTGTGGGGACAGTGGGAATGAGGTGGAAACACTGGGACAGTGGAGGGTACAATGGTGGTGGAGACACTGGTAAAGGCGGTGGCGAGGACGGCGGTGGGACAATGGGACAGAGGTACAGTGGGGACACTGGTGGGGACAGTGGGGACAGTGGTGGAAACAGTGGGACAGCTCAGTGGGACAGCGGAGGAGTCAGTGGGACAGTGGGGACAATGGGGATAGGCAGTGGTTGGGTCTGTGGAGACAGTGGGGAGAGTGGAACCGTGGTGGGAACAGTTGTGGGAACAATGGGGACAGTGCGACAGTGGTGGGGGCATTGGTGGGGACAATAGGGACGGTGGTGGAACCAGTGGGGACAGTGGTGGTGAGGACAGTGGTGCTGGGAACAACAGTGGGGGATGTGATGCGAGCGGTGGTAGGGACCGGGAGTCGTTTGCTGGCGGTGCGTGGGGGGGGGGGTCGAACCGGTAGTGACCCCCTCCGGTTTTCGAGGGGGGGAGGGGGGGTCCAACCGGTAATGACCCCCCCCCGGTTTTCCGGATCCCGGAGGGGGGGGGGGGGGAGGGGTTCGAACCGTAGTGACCCCCCCCGGTTTTCGAGGGGGGGGGGGGGGGGGGGGGGGGGGGGGGGGGGGGTTTTGCCGGGAGGGAGGGGGGGGGGGGGGAGGGGTTCCGGCAGGGGGGGGTGGATTTTCGGAGGGGGGGGGGAGACCCCCGGGTTCCGGAGGAAAAGGTTGGCAATTTTCCACATGCAGTAAAGCGGCGGTGGATCACGCTCTCTCCCATATATACATCCATGCATCCATACATACAGACAGACAGACATACAGACAGAGAGACAGAGAGACAGACAGACAGACAGAAAGACAGACAGACAGACAGACAGACAGACAGACAGACAGGCAGGCAGACAGACAGACAGACAGACAGACAGACAGACACAGAGACAGACAGACAGATAAAACGTACACACACACAAGTATCCAGATGCCTATGGCAAGTCCCGCCACCGTGCCTGGGTTATGGGTTATAAGCCTAGTGGATGTTCGTTGGAATCTCGTTAGAGGCCTCTCGGGAGCCTCTTGGAGGCAGTTTTGAAGCCTCTTGGGGGCCATTCTGGGGTCTCTTTGGGGGCATTTTGGGGCTTCCAGAGCTTGGGAGCCTCTTGGGGGCCTCTTGGGGGCTTCTCGGGGCCTCTTGGAGGCCTCTTGGGCCCTCTTGGGGCCTCCTGGGGGCCTTTTGGGGCGGAGGCTTGGATTTTTTGTAGGTGTTCCCTCTCTGGGGCCCTTTTTGGGGCCGTCTTGGATCCCTCTTGGGCCGACTTGGGTGCCTCTTGGGCCGTCGTGGAGCGCTCTTAGGCCGTCGTGGGGCCCTCTTGGAGGCCTTTCGGGCAGTTCTGGGGTGGTCTTGGAGGCCTCTTGGGAGACCTCTTGGAGGCCTTTTGGGACACCTTGGAAGCCTCTTGCGCCATCTTGAGGCCATCTTGGGCGTCTTCGAGCGATCGTTCGGCGACTCGGGGCCCTCTTGGACCGTCTGGGGGGCCTCCTGGGCCGTCATGGAAGCCTTGGAGAGACCCATGGAGGTGCCATGGCCGCCCAGGGACCCCCTGGGAGCATGGCCGGTGCACGCAGCGAGGTGCTTACCGAGGAGGTGGGGGCCCCTAAGAAGATTTCAGAAACCCTGCCAGGCAGCCCTTGACATGCTGCTACGACGCCTCAACGTGCCACGGGGCTCGGTGACGGATACTATATATATATAATAATATATATATATAAATATATAATATATAATATATAGATATATATATTAAAGACTGTTCTACCGCTGCTGGCGGAAACCCGGGGAGGGTCACTACGGTTTTCGAACCCCTCCCCCCCCCCCCTCCAGAAAACCGGGGGGGGTCACTACCGGTTCGAACCCCCCCCCCCCCCCTCCGGATCCGGAAAACCGGGGGGGGTCACTACCGGTTCCCCCCCCCTCCCCCCCCTCGAAAACCGAGTGGGGGTGCGGACAGTGGTGGGGACGGTGTTGGTGGGGACAGTGGTGAGGGGATAGCGGGACAGTGGTGGGGACAGTGGGACAGTGGGACATTGGTGGGGACGGTAGTGGTGGGGACAGTGGTGGGGACAATGGTGGGAACAGGGGGGAACAGTGGACAGTGGTGGTGACGGTGGTGGTGGGGACAGTGGTGTGGGGACAATGGGAATGAGGTGGAAACAGTGGGACAGTGGAGGGTACAATGGTGGTGGGGACAGTGGTGAAGGCGGTGGCGAGGACGGCGGTGGACAATGGGACAGAGGTACAGTGGGGACAGTGGTGGGGACAGTGGGGACAGTGGTGGGAACAGTGGGACAGCTCAGTGGGACAGCGGAGGAGTCAGTGGGACAGTGGGGACAGTGGGGATAGGCAGTGGTTGGGTTCGTGGAGACAGTGGGGAGAGTGGAACCGTGGTGGGAACAGTGGTGGGAACAGTGGGGAGTGGGACAGTAGTGGGGACGGTAGTGGTGGGGACAGTGGTGGGGACAATGGTGGGAACAGGGGGGGACAGTGGACAGTGGTGGTGACGGTGGTGGTGGGGACAGTTGTGTGGGGACAATGGGAATGAGGTGGAAACAGTGGGACAGTGGAGGGTACAATGGTGGTGGGGACAGTGGTGAAGGCGGTGGCGAGGACGGCGGTGGGACAATGAGACAGAGGTACAGTGGGGACAGTGGTGGGGACAGTGGGGACAGTGGTGGGAACAGTGGGACAGCTCAGTGGGACAGCGGAGGAGTCAGTGGGACAGTGGGGATAGTCGGGCAGTGGTTGGGGCCGTGGAGACAGTGGGGAGAGTGGAACCGTGGTGGGAACAGTTCTGGGGACAGCGGGGACACTGCGACAGTGGTGGGGCCACTGGTGGGGACAGTAGGGGCGGTGGTGGAACCAGTGGGGACAGCGGTGGTGAGGACAGTGGTGCTGGGAACACCAGTGGGGTATGTGATGCGGACGGTGGTGGGGACCGGGAGTCGTTTGCTGGCGGTTGATAGGGGGGGGGTTTCCAACCGTAGTGACCCCCCCGGTTTTCGGATCCCGGAGGGGTGGGGGGGGGGCGGGGTTCGAACCGGTAATTAGTGACCTCCCTGGGTTTTCGAGGGGGAGGGGGGGAGGGGTTAGGGGAGGGGGGGGTTTTGCCGGGGGAAGAGGGGGGGGGATTTTCGGAGGGGGGGGGGGGATTTTTTCCCCCCCGAGGTGGGGGGAGACCCCGGGTTCCGGAGGAAAAGGTTGGCAATTTTCCACAGTAAAGCGGCGGTGGATCACGCTCTCTCTTTCATATATATATATATATATACATATATATATGTGTGTATATATATATATGAAATATGCGTTATGTGTATATGTGTTCAGGTGGAACGGTATGTGTGCACGTGCGTCTATACATATTTTCATCTACATATGTATATATGTGTATATTGTGTGTATGCGTTTATGTATACATGCATGCATGTCTGTATGTATGTATGTATGAATGAAAGAATATATGTAGGTGTGCACGCATGTATGTAAGTATCTACATATGTATATGTAGGTATGTATGCATATATAACTATGCATATATGTGTGTATGTATGTATGTATGTATGTATGTATGTATGTATGCAAGCATGCATGTATGTACGCATTTACATGTGTATGTATGTATGCATGCATGCATGCATGCATGCATGCATGGATGTGTGTGTATGTATGCATGCATGCATGTATGTATGTGTGTATGTATGTATGTATGTATGTATGTATGTTTGCATGCATGTATGTATGTATGTATGTATGTATGTATGTGTGTATGTATGGCTGTATGTATGCATGCATGCATGCATGCATGCATGCATGCATGTATGTATGTATGTATGTATGTATGCATGCATGCATGCATGCATGCATGCATGCATGCATGTATGTTTATATATATGTATGTTCGTACGGATGCTTATAAGTATGTATGCATGCATGCATGCAGCTGCATATATATATATATATATATATTGATGTATCGAGGGGTGTACTCGGCAGCATATTTGGCGAATTCCTGTTTGTTTCGCGGTGCCCCTCGAACCGCCATTTTTCGCCCTCATCTGCGGTTCTCCTCTCCCGCAGTTGAGCTCGGGAGTGCGTGCACCCGCGGCGACTCGGAGGGAAGCAGGGCAGCAGGGCCACAAGGGGCGGCCCTGCCAGAAGGCTGGGCGGCTCTCTTTGATGGTGCGGGCTTCGCACTGTTTGCATAGGCCTCCCAGACGGGGTCCGAGCAGAGGAGGCTGGAGGATCGCACCGCATCGCCGATGCACCGCCGATGCGGCTCGATGTGGATCCCGATTCGCTCCACGCCGATGCGTCGCCGGCGTTGCCGATGCATCGCCGATGCATTCGATGATGCGGCGAGATCCTCTGACCCCATCTGCTCTTAAATCGGGCATGCCCCTATACAGGAGGAAGAAATGTTCAAGAATAGAAACACATTCTCTGGGGATAGTTTCCGGGCTCTTTTGACCATTGGTTTGACGATTGATTGACTGGCTATGCCTTAAGTTCCTTCTTCCCAAGATCCGCCTGGAGGGGGACCTGCCCGACCTCAACCTGCTCTGCCCCCATCTGGGAGGGCTCTGGCATGGCTGTCCTGTCCCCCCTCCCCGCTGCCCCTGTCCGCGCGCGCCGCCGAGCGCAGCGTGCGGGGCACGCGCGGCGCTTCCACCCCCGCGGCGCCCGCGGGCGCCCGCGGGGAGGGGGGCGCTGAGGCGCACACCTTTTCGCCGCGCTCTCGTCGGTGCGGGGTGGGCGGTGCTCGCAGGAGGGCCCGGAACACGGTCCTTCGCCCTCTCGGCGTTGTCGTCGTCCTCGCCCTCCTGCTGCTCATCTTCCCGCGTCCCTCTCCTCCTGCATCGCCCCCTCTACATCCCTCCGCCTCTCTGCTCCTGCTGCTGCTCCTCTTCCCTTGCCCTTCCCCTGGTCCTCCCCTCTGCCTGGCGCTGCTGCGCCGTCTCGTCCTCGTCCTCCCGTCGTGAAGAGGCACCACGGCTGGCGCGCTTGCCGCGTGCTTGGCGGACTTGCCCCCAGGGCATTGACGCATCGATCCAGGCTTGAAATTGGTGACGCTTCGCGAATCCCCACCAGCCCATCCAGAAACGATGCCCAGAGGAATTGCCTCGATCAGGGAAGTGGGCAGCACACAGAGGAAGCCATTATGAGACATCTTGGGATATCTGGAGCCATCTTGGAGGTCAGTTTGGGCTCTCCCATGCGCTCTTGGAGTCATCTGAATCAGTGCCCCCCCCCAAGAGGCCAACATGTGGCTAAAACCTTCGTAAAATCAATGATTCGGCATTCTCGCCGAGGCCTCTTGGAGCATCTTGGGTGCCTCTGGGGGGTCTCTTGGGGCCTCTTGGGGGTCTCTTGGGGGCCTCCTGGGGGCCTCTTGGGGGCCTCTTGGGGCCATATTTGGCCCATCTTGGAGCACCCTTGGGAGCCTTGGGGGCCATAGTTGGGCCATCTTGAGTGAGATCGATCACAGGAGGGGTGGTTTACGGATTACAGTCGCCCCCCAAGGAGGCCAAAATGGGGCCACAACCTTAGTAAAATCACTGATGTTGGCTTCCTCGCCGAGGCCGTTTAGGACGCCCTGACACCTCGCGAGACCTCCTGTCCAGGTCCAGGGGAGGGGGTAGGGGAGGGGTAAACCCCTCCCCGAAGGGGAAGAAGGAGGGGTGGAAGAGGAAACTCCCTAAACCACCGACGCCCAGAGGGATGGTGGGATACGCCCACTCGAAAGATGGGGCCGATCATTTCGGCCGTGATTTTCCCAAGACGTGTTGTTGTCTCACGACGTCGGGTGTTGAAATCTTTCTCCCCCTTCCGTTTGCGTGTAAGCGGTCTGGTTCGTGCCCGCGATCACCCTTAGGCATTACGCCCTCTCCCCTCTGCACGACCTCTCCCCTCTGCACGACGTGGGACGGTAGCAGTAGCAGCAGGAGGGACAGAAGGGGGGGTCGGTTGCAAATCATGTGGGCCTTGTATACCCTCGCAACTCTGTCCTTAAAGTGCATTCGTGTCGACTAGCGTGTGGTAGTCGATCGGTAAGCGCCGATTTAGCATCGGCTAGAGTAGATTAGCGTCGATCTAGCGTCTCATAGCGTCGATCAGCGTCGACTCGCAAGAGCCAACAAGGTGGCATGAGAGGCTCCCATGAGGTGCCGCAGAAGAAGCAGCAGGATGGGAGAAGGGGGGAATCCCTTCCAGAGGGGGAGAGGAGGGGAGATGGGAAGCAGCAGAAGGTGAGAGAGCAGCAGGAGGGGCCAGGACGAGGATCAATCACTTCCAGAGCGTTCCAGAACGCTCCCAAAGCGTTCCGGAATGCTCTGAGAAAGCCGCGACGCCCCATACACCCTCAAGAGCCGCCAGATCTCAGAGGTGTTCGTTTCATTATCATCCGAACGTGTCCTCGTCTTGGCCTCGTCTAAGGGTGATCAGGAGTAGGAGGGGGAGTCAGGAACAAAGATTGGGGGGGTTAGGCACATGGGGGGACGCATCGACCCCCAATCGCCCATTGCAAGCCTGCCCAGGAACGTGCGGATTCACTATCGGGGGCTTATCGCCGAGCTACCAGCGATGTACAGTCAGCCCGCATAGTAGGGATGGGCGGTTTTTCCCAAGGTTACTCGGTCCGTCCTTGGCCACTTTCGCTGGCCGCGCCCCGCTCGAACAGCTTCGAAATGGCCTTTCAAGGCCCTTGCATCCTTATCGTGCATCCTTATGATACAGTTGAGGCCCTTGCCAAGAAACACCCTGCTTGCCTCTAGGGTGCCCCGGGTTTCTTGGGTTTCGATGGATTTGCGATGGAACACGTGACGTTCCCGCACAAAATCGGTGGACGCCTGGGCAGGGTTGGGTTCTTGTGGACTGTCCTCCACTGTACGGGTCGACTGCATCGCCGATCCCAGGTCGACGTGCCCCCCCCCCCCTGTGCCATAGCCCCCCCCCCGCGTTGCCCCTCGGGGAGGTTGCCGCCTGGCGCGGCGGCCTCCGGCTGGACCCCCCCATCCTCTGCGCTTGAGTCGGGCGTGTCTCTCTACAGGAGGACGATCAACAGATTGTCAGACCATAGTCCGGGGGGACGATGTTTCGATTATTGTCTGATTCTGCTCGAGTTTTCTGCATAAAAAGCTAACTTTCATGTTTCTTCCAAAATCCGCTTGTAGTAAGACATGCCCGACCTCACTCTGCGCGTGGACCAGCCGTCCGCCGCCGGCCCCGGCCCGAACCTCCGGCCGCTGGGGCGCCCGGCCGCTCCTCGCCGCCGCTCGCCCTGAGCCGTGCGCTGTCGTCGCTGCTCGGCGGCTCAAAGATTCTCGGGTCGGGCGAAAGGGGGGGATTGGGAAAGGGGGGGTTACGAAATTTGCTGCATGCAGCTGGTTTCGGCCTCACCGAGGGGCCCATTCCTCGATACATGGCCGCCTCCGGCGCCGGGAGGCGCCAGGAAAATCAGCTACGTGAGCTGATTCTCAAACCCCCCCTTTGCTATCCCCCCCTTTCGCCCGACCCGAGATTCCGAGGAGGAAGACGTTTCCACACCGCTGCCATGCCTGCGTTCCTGCCTCTCGGGGCCTGCTGGGAGGCCGTTCTGTCTCCGAGGAGGAAAAGGGATCCATACCTCTACTCTTCGCTCGTTTTCCCCTTTTTGGGCCTCCTGGGCGGCCCTCGTCACCACCGCTGGATTTGCCTCGAAATCCGGGTCAGAAAAAAACGCCCCAGGAGAGATTTGGGGAGTAGCGGTATTGGTACCTTTCGGTTTCCCCAGTGTCCACCGCTGGATTCGCCTCGAGATTCTGGTCAGAACGCGCCCTGGGAAACTCGCAGCGGTATCGGTGCCTCTTAGCTTCCCCATGATCGGCGGCTCAAAGATGTGGACATGAGGTGCAATCAGTTTGCTGAAATGAGGTCCAGTTCGAGGTCGGAAGGGAGCTCTGTGGTTCCTCCTGTTTGCATGCGTTCCGTTGCTTTTTTGGGGGCCGGGGGGGCGAGCGTCTTCGGTGCTCCTTAGCACGCCAGGATTCGTTTTGTCGAACACGGCGGCTGGCCGAAGGAACGGGGCTTGAAAGTTGTCGGCCGTTTCTGTGCCAAGAATGGGTTTCGTTGCTTACCTATCGTTCTTTATTTCTGCAACCCGATTGTATGGGGTCTTGATGGTACAGTGGGAACCCATGCAAAGAAACACCCTGCCCCCAGTTTCTTGGGCTTCGATGGCTTTGTGTGGTTCCCACACCCCAAATCAATCGACGTCCTAGGATCTCAGGGTTGAGTCTCTTGTGGAAGGTGTCTTGCGGTCGAGCTCTTACTGAAGGAAAATGATCCCAGGCGGAAATTTCACTGCTTGAGGCCACTCGCGCTCGGGGCCCCATCCCTCGAGCTTTGAGCCGCCGAAGTGTCGCTGCCGTCTTTGCAGCCGCCGTCGTCGTGTTCGTTTCTCTCGCCGTCGCGTGCCGCCCCCCAGTCGGAGAGTCACCGAGCAATGTCAGAACAAAATCACCTGTTCGCCCTGACGTGATGGATCGTGCTTCCCCCGCGGCGGATCCAGGCCATTTGCGAGCAGTTGCTCTTCGCGAGTAGTGGGACACGCTTGTTTGGAGGAGTGCGAGTCGAGGCACCGGTAGTTGGCCTTCGGGGGGGCCCCTCTCGGCTCCGTCGTGTGGCAGTGGGGGGGTGGTCCACATGTGGGTGAAGAGAGAGTCCCGAAAGGCGCCCTTTAGGTCTTCTTTTGGATCCAAAAGCGACCGAAAGGGCCCCTTTAGGGCCCTTCTCTTCACCTCCCATTTGGGTCACCCCCCATTGCCACCCGCCCGATGGGCGCAGCTCGGAGATTTGGTGCGTCTGAACCCTGGGATGGGTCCGGTGGCCGACCTTGAACTGCCGTGGCCTCATCTTCTCACGCCGCCCTTCGCCGGTCCAGAGCCGTCGGGCAGGAGGTCTAGTGGGGGGTCGGGGAGGGCGTCGGGCAGAGCGTCTGGAGGGGCGTCGATTTGGGCCGTGGTCGCGTTCCTGGTTCCATGCCTCCTAGATGGGGTCCGAGCAGATGGGGTCGGAGGATCGCGCCGCATCGCCGATGCATCGGCGATGCGGCTCGATGTGGAGCCCGATGTTCTCCACGCCGACGTCGCCGCGGTGCATCGCCAATGCATCGCCGATGCGTCGCCGATGCGTCGCCGATGTGGCGCGATCCTCCGACCCCGTCTACTCGGACCCCATCTAGGATCTAGGAGGCCTCTAACGGTGGTTCTGCCCGCAGAGGACCGTTGCGTCCTCGGGGCCGTCCTGACGGTCGCCGGCGTCGGTGTCCCAGGGGGGGCGGGCCTCGTCGTCGTCGTCGTCGTCGTCGTCGTCGTCGTCGCCCTCGCCGTCGTCAGCGCAGCCCCGCTGGGATGGCGTTCCTGCTGGCGCGCGCCTTCGGCGGCGCCCGTGCGCCTGCTGGCTCAGGGGACGCGGGCGCCTTCGACAAGCTGCCGGTCTTCGGCATCGACACCGAGGACGCAGGGTTCTGGCGGTCCATGTCCGCGGACACGGCGAAGGAGCGGAGTCCAGGAAAGCACGCTCGCACACTCCAGGCTTGGCGATGGTTGCCACGGGAGCGTGGCCGTTCACTCGCCTGCGCCGCCCGAGGCCCTGAGCACTCCCTAGGACCCTGGAGATCTCTAAGAGGCCTCTCTCTTTTTAGATAAAAAGGGAAGCACGTTTGCATACCTGAGCTTTGTACGCCCGCGCCAGGCCCCAGTCCCCGCACCCCTGGGCGATCCTGGGCAGCATCGGGGCGTCCGAAGTTTGTGGTATGGTCTGTGCGTGTGCGTGTGTGTGCGTGTGTCGCTCCTCACTTCCCCCCTCGCTTTGCTTGGCCCCCCTTGCCCTTTTCTTGCTGGCCCTTGGCCTTCCTGATTCTGGCTGGCTTTTGGCCCGTGCTGCCTCTAACGGCCTGTGGCTGTGCCCAGCCTGCGACGCTAAAAAAGGACGCGCGCGCGTGTCTTGTTCCGGCCACCTCGAGGAGTCCCACACTCTGAAGCAGTTCGAGGCAGGCCCCTGGGAGCGGCAGCTCTCCGAGGGCCGCTCAGGTACGGGAACGTTCACTCGGCAGATCTCGGAGGGCGCTTACGAGCAGTCGCCAGCTCCCCGAGGGCGCTGCTTCTCTGACAGCATCGTCTGCAAGGGCTTGAATCCGGCTGGGAACTCGGAGGCCTTGCAGCGCTGCGGCAGCAAGGAATTCCCTGATCCTGGCGGCATGGGAAAGAACGACGCTCGGGTGGAGGCTCTGCGGAGGGCGGAAATGCTGGCGCGTTTCGACCACAGCTACGACGGTCGCAGGCGGTGATGTTATACCTGCAGCGTAGTGGGCTCTGCTGGACGCATATGGCACCACATTCGTAACATTCACCGTCGAACGGTTTGCCAGGCTACCTGCACGCATACCCACAGGTACCATTCAGGTGAGGTGAGCACTTTTTTAAGCAAGCTGTGCCATGTGGCCAGCCCACGCTCCACCTACCTCGATCTTGCCAGGGCCCGCAGGACCTGTCTCGATCGATCTCGGAGCACCCGCAGGACCTGTCACGATCTTTTTCCAGGTCGCCTGATCTGTCTCTTCTCTTCTGTCTCCATCTTCGTCTCTTTTTGTCTCCGTCTGGGCGGGCTGCGTTGCGTTGAGCGCAACTACGTGCTGCGCGTTGCTGCTGATCGCTTCATAAGGAAGCGAATGTTTAAGATGCTGGCACGTTGCTCGTGGTCTAGAGTGTGGGCTATTGGGTATGCGACGCAGTCGGACCGAGACACTAACAATCCAGGACTGGAGCACGAGAGGGTATTGCGATAGAGCCACTAGCACCTCCACCACAAGACCGCCTCTGTCGGCGAGCGACTCACCAGCTCCATTTGAAGCAGCCAGCGCGAATTCAACATTGCTTATTCTTGCATGACGCGTGCTTCTACCATAGATTGATTGCAGCTTCGTTCCTAACGTTTCACCGGCTGCAGCTACAGTATCTCCATGCAGAGGCGCTCCTGATTGAAAGTGAGCTCTTAGATGCGCGGCCGCACATTTGGGATTTTCAAGCATGTCCATGACGTCATAGCCAGAGCTAGCAAGATGCGGTCGCAAACGGGACGGGCAGGTAGGTAGAGGGCAGGACAAACATTGACTCACCCCAGCACCCCGAATCAACACTTTCCAATCATCAAAATCCTGTTATACTTCTCCTCGTCCAATCAGCTTCTCGTCTTCTCCTAGTTTTCTCCTTCTCATCTCCTTCTCCGCTCCTCTCTCGTTCTCGTTCTCCTGCCCCTCGTCTTCTCATCGTCTCAGCCTCCCGCGCCGTCTAATTAACTTCTCATGCTCTACGCGCGGGTAGTTCCTCCTTTGTCGCCTTCCCCATCAGGTTCTTGCTCATCATCTGCTCGTCGCGGGGGTCGCGAAAGTTGTGACATACCAGGTTTTCCTTCTCCCCCCGACCAGGAAGCATGTAACGTATCAGCTGTTCCTACGTTGCCAGTGTTTGTTCTGACGAGCACTGGCGAAGAATGGAGGAGCGTGGCCATGGCTACAACACATCAGGAAATGCAGGGCAAGCGTCAATGTCGCATGGTTCGCAGCCATCGCGATCTGGAACAGCAGGATCCGCTGGTATTTTCAAAGGTTTCGCAGCCACTGCGACCAGGAAGCGTGTAACATGCTATCCTGCCTTTCCATCTAGGTTTCTGGTGGCCGCGGGCGAATTGGGGAAGAGTTTGGCCATGGGCTACAACAGTGGGAACAGCGGCAGCAACAGAGCGTATGCTATAGATGTTCTGCAAACATCGCGACCTGGAGAAGCTGGAACACATTGTGTTTGACATGTTCCACAGCGATGGCGAGCAGGAGACATGTGATATACACGTTTGTCCTGCTTTCCCAGCGTGTTCTGACGATTACAGGCGACGGGGGAAAGAGCGTGGCCGTGGGCTTCCAGCAAGGAGGATCATCTTGCATGTCACAGGTTTCGCAGCCAGCGCGACCTGGAATAGCACGATATGCTTGTGTTCTGAAAAGGTTTCGCAGCAATCTCGACCGGCAGACCTTACCAGAGGAATCTTGTGTAAAGGAATCATTGCCGGATAAGATTTACCGGATTATCCAGCACGAAGGAATCTTCACTACGAATTGATTCCAAAACAATCCTGCATCGATCAGCTTTTCGCCAATGAACCACTTTTGCACTACGACTTACGGAAGGGTGTCTTTATACAGACAATTTGGTACAACGAAACCTCCTTTCAGGGAATTCTAGTCAAAATGGGCCAGTTGTATTAAACATGCTCTTACAATATAAGCCATGGCTAACGTGAATCTGCGCGAAATGGATCCTGAGCGCGGGGATCCGCACTGAATGGAGAACGAGAGAGGGAGAGAGAGAAGATAATCAAACAAAACGCAACACAAGCAACTGGCAGAACGACCCAACCGCATGCAGCTGCAAGTATCGCGAGGCAGGCGAGGTGAAGGAGGCGTCCAGCAGCAAGACTGCGGGCGGCGTGGAACAGAGGGGGGGGGGAGCTGGTGCGTGCGTTCAGGGAGTCTTCTTGGTGTGGCTACAGCCCCGTGCGACGCCGTTTCGTGCCCGTGTCTTTCCCAGCTCTTTTTGTTCCCCTCTCCTGGTTTCACTTGCGCGTTGTATTAAGACGGGCCTGTCCCTCTACAGGAGGAGCATGCAAACATGTGCAACAAACAGTATGGGGACGATGTTTTTAGTATTGGGCATTTTTTGAACATGGCGTGAACCTTTTCATTTTTCGTCCAAAATCCCCCTGTAGGGGGACACGGCCGACTTCAGCGTTGCATTCTTGCGCGCCTGGCCGCCAGTGGCCCGAGCCCCGGCTGGGGTCACGAACCATCTGGAGGCAGGGAAGGGTTGTGGCATATTTCGGGGGCGGTAAAGAGGGGGGTGATGGCCCTGACATCTTCCCAGATGTCATGGCGCCTCTTCTTATTTCATTACGTCCCTGGCCGCCCCCGATTAAAGGGGTGTGGTGCCAATCGTGAACATCGAGATGCTATCTACGGTAGATGGCATCGCCAAACGCAGCATCTACACCACACCCCTCTATGTCACTTTCTTTTCCCACCGCCAGAACGAAGCGTGTGAGGCGTGTGCCGAAATGAGGCGGCGGGGCCATGCGGACCCTGGTATTTGGGCTAAGGTGAGGTCTCTATGATGGAGCCGCGCAACGTGTGAGGAGTGTAGCGAAGTGATGCGGCGTGGCCATGCGGACGTTGGCAGTTGGACCTTAGTTGGAGCCCCTAACGCGGCCACGAAACGTTTGAGGGGTGTGCCAAGAGAAGGCCACGGGGCCATGCGGACCCTGGCATTTGGGTTTTAGTTGGAACTCCCTATGAGACCACGAAGCGAGTGAGGAGTATGCAAAAATGAGGCGGCGGGGCCATGGGACCCTGGCATCTGGGTTTTAGTTGGAGCTCCCTACGGGGCCACGAAGCGAGCGAGGAGTATGCAACAATGAGGCGGCGCGCGACTACGCGCATGCGCACTGCGTTCTTCCGTTCGCAAGGGGTTTGTGTAAGCCTATGTTTTGTTATAGACGAGTGCGCGCATATATGTATTTGCAGAGGATGGCGGGGGGGGGGTCGATACCGGCTCGGCTGGGATGGTACGAGTTCTTTTTTAGGATGGACGATGGGGCAGAATCATAAGTAAATTGCAATACGACCAGGGGAGGTAATAATCCCGGGGGGGGCGTAGAGTGTCCTTCTTGAAAAGGACAAACAAGCTATTTTGTGCAATACACGAAGAGTAACTTATGTGGTGGAACAGACGTGATATCAATTGCTGTGCGCCGTGGATTGTCAACTCCAGTGCTCGCGCATTCCTCCCACCCACCCACCCATAATGTGGTTTGCAAAGCCCATAGGCGGCGGCTGCGATGACCGCTTGGCGAAGGCTGGTGCGTCGCTGCGTCCGCGCTAGCGCGCGCAAGTTCGCGCGCACAGCGGCTTGCGAATCAGCCGCGACCGGCGCGGCCGCGAAGGTGTTGACCGTTGGGCATTTCCTAACGCGTCTCGCAGGCCGCGCTGAAGGGTGTGGAGAGATTTCGATATGCGCGCGCGGCCGACAGGCGGGAGTGGCCCGCCTTGTTTTTTGAATACGATCCGGGCCCCCCCCCAGCACGCTCGCAAGGACACCCCAATGATTCCAGCATGCGCGCGCGAGAGATCCGTTTCGTCGCAGTTGATGGACACGTTGAAGCACCAAGTGTTGTTTTCGATTTCGCAAAAAACGCGCGCACATGTCATTTCGGATCAGCCGTGTAATTAAACCATGTTACTTATATGTCGTCCTGGCGTTCGTTTTTGAAATCCTCACGATACCAGGGCTTTCGTTAAGGATTCCGGCGGGGGCGCGCGACGACGCGCGCATGCGCATTTCGTCCGACGGTTTGCAAATAGTTGTTATATTTTGAGGGTTTGGATAAACGGGGTTCATCTCATATTTTGCATTTTTTCCAAGGGGTGATTGGGGGGGGCGATAACGGGTTGGTAGGGATAGTATGAAGTCATATCGACAATGAACGATGGGGCAATATCTTACATAAATTGTTCATTTTAGGAGGGTGGATCATGCTGGCCTTGTGGGGGCGGTCGATCCGAATTCTTTTTTTGGAATCTAGCGAAGGCAATGCAATTGAACGCAAAACCTGTCAACACAATACGACACAATGCGAGGTGGACCAAATTACGCAAGGAAGCGGCGACGGGGCGGCGACGGCGTTTACGGAGCCGCTAGGCCGCCAACCAAGGCCAGGTCCTTAGACGACAGGCTAGAACCCCCCTAAGTGCAAGCACTGCTTTGAAATGCTTGCTTCTGTGATACATCCTCACAAAAAAAACAACTGATATTATATTTTGTTCCAAATTACGCTTGTCAGATTAATCATTGCCCAACGGACCTTTAATACGAACAAGGTGTTTGCCAAGGAGATTCAGAT